GAATGCGAAAAACACGTTTGTAAAGAGGGGAACTGTTAGAGTTAGGCGTATAAATAAAATTCTAACAGAGAAAATTAAGAAATATCTTTTAAAATTATTTTTAGATTTATTTAATATAAGAGAAAATTAATTAAAAAACTATCTAGGAAATAAGCGTACTTATATGGACTAGAAGATTTGTGCTTAGAGTTAATTATCCTGATCACCTCTAATCATTGCTTATAAATGCTCATCCTGATCACCTTTGATCATTGCTCATGAGTGCTCATCCTGATCACCTCTGATCATTACGTTGTCCAGATCTGACCATGTGTGCTATTCAGGGTCCAGTCCTGTCCAAGTCGGTCATAGTTCCTTCGCAGAGCGCCAGGCAGCTCCGAAGTGCCTGTCTGTGCTTGGCGTGTTCACGTGCTGTAACACATTTCACCTCTACAGTCTAACCGAGTCACGCGCTCTATCTTATTTCACCTTCCCATTCGGCTTTGCCCTAAGCCCCTAGGCCTCAGCAAAGAAGGGGAAAAAAGATAATGCAGATAATGAAGAGATTGCTCTTTTGGGCCGGGAAGACGAGTATTCTCAGATATCCAGAAATCTTAACGAGCATGAGCTATAGATAAGATCTGAGTCGCAGCGTTCAAGAGGAGGAGAGGATATATTGATCCAGACCCAGCTCCAGCTGCGGCTGTCCTTTGATAGCGCTTCTTCAACCTGTTGGATGACCTTTCTATCGTTTAAAGGGGCTAGTCATGCTCTATCTGTGTCGTGATTTTGTGCTGGGTTGGTTGGTTACATGTTCAGGTTTTGGGGAGGGGAGAGAGCTTCTCCGATTTGATCATCATCGTCATCGTTATCGTCATCATCTCCGAACTCTGTCTGGGTGGGCTTTCTTCCTTTTACTCTTCTCATATCTTCTTATAGAAAGAGAGATAAACAAAAAGAGTCAGAAGACATGGATCAAGCCAAAATTAGAGCGGTAGGGAAGAGAAAAGGAAGAAAGGTTGTGATTGTTTCTTTCCTGGGGTCATCGAAGCCATAGACAGGAGAAGCGACTGGGTTGGGTTAAGAAGCGGGATGAGTGATTATGTGCTTAGCTTCGATACTAAAACTGAATATAACACGCCTTGTCTAATCTGTCGTTCAAGTACGAAACGATACACAGTTATCTTAATTATGATAATGCTGTCCCAGGTTCTGGTATCCTAGGCTGCCTTTGGCATTCGGAATGCCTTGAAATGATTGTGGAGATATCATCCATGATCCCGGGAAAGACCTCTGCGGTCTCCTCGTCACCGCTTCTCTCGCTCATGAGTGATTGACCTTGCTCACTAATGTCCACGTTGGTAACACTAGAATCCTGTATGCTGCTCAATTCAGGAGATCCATCGGGGCTGAAGTGACGTGAAACGAGATCAGTGGGTATGCGAAACCTCTCTCCCGATTTCGTTACTGGCACGATTGCGGTTTTGCCTGACCAAGTACCCATACCTGCTCCCTCATACGCCAGCCGCTGGAGCTGGAGTTTGTCGTTGAGAGCCCATTGGACGCGTTGATAGTCACGATAATTCCACCTTTGCTGAATGTATCCGATCATTGTGTCAAGGCTGAGGCTCAAGACAATGAGAATGCCGCCTATGGATAGGATAATGACTACACCTAGCGTTGAGAAATTCGTAGTGTTGCCAGGTGAGCGGACTATTTGATTGTCGCACATCATCTGCCAGATTGCATCCGCGGGTCTGCTGATATATGATGCTCCAACAACATTTGGTGGTCCTGCAGCATACTGCATGACTGATTGTTGCAGCAATGCCAGTCCAGTATCGAACCAGGACCGGACTTCAATCATCCACTGGTCTTTTGGTAAAGGAAGTGATACAGCTTCAGCCGCAGCTTCGGTAGCGCGCAGGGCTGCCGCGCCGCGTCCATTGATACCTATTAGGTGTGGTTAGAGAGAGACTTGAGCAGGGGTTTTTGAGGGCAAACTCACAATAGTGGATTGTTTGGTAGAGGAAGCTGAGTGACAGGCGGGAAACGATCATGGACTGGACTGCGCTCATATCTAGGTCTGCGCTTTGTTTGACTGCGTCGTAATAATCTTGAAGATGTGTGCATCTTTGGTTGTTAGGGTTGCAGATTTGATGCTGGTCGATGCAGGCCATAGGATTGACATCTGAGGTATTATCGGGTCAGACGTTAAATATGAGAAGGAAATAAAGAGATGGACACATACAGTAGTTAGCATAGTAAGTGGATGCATTCTTACTTCCGGACCTGATTGGGTCTCCGGGGTAAGTTGCCAAGAAGACTGGATCATACACAGGCTCGAGATAGTTGATGGCGTTGGACGATACAAATATGATGGTTACATCAGCATCGTCCCGAGAGATGGCATCAACGGGTCTCCAGGCACCAGGATACAAGAACGACCTGAGCTCTCCGTCAGCAACTGTACGTTGTGAGAATAAGTAAAACGCAGGTGAGTCAGATAAAGCTGGACTTATGCTCCACCTGGTAATGCAACAGTACCACATTGGACTACCCTTCCACTGCTACGTACAGTGCGGTGCAGTTTGACTTGTGCACACATCTATGTTGAAGCCTCCTCATAGGCTTTTTTGCCGGAAACGCTCAGAGAGGTGCTGGCTTCCCAGATGGGCTCTGCATTGAAAAAAGATAAGCTTTTGAAATTGGAATACTTACCGCAAGCCATAGCCAAAATTGAGCGCGGCGACATATCTGTTGTAAGAATACGTGAAATTATTTTCACCAGTTCGTCCGAAGTTGTAAAAATCAATGATATCCCCGGAATGGCCAAGAAACCGACCACCTAGCTCTTTTACCATCTTGGTTGCGTCTGTATAGTTGAAAGAGGTTATGTAGCCTTTCGATGCAATAGGGGCGCAAGTAGTCTTTCTGCGAAATACGATTCTGTCCTTTTTTCTGGTGTTGATACCGAGATGATAATGCGATGAGATATTGCCGGTATCCATGGATAGCGCGGGCGTTGATTTAAGGCATAGGCCAGACTTAAAGGGACATGTCTCGTTCTGGTTCACGGTGTAGGAGATTTGCTGCTTCTTGTACCGGCCACACAGCGGGGTATTTGATTCGATCCCATAGCAGGCTCGGGCATATGTCGCAGCGGTTATGGTATCATTCAGGGTTTTTTTATATACGTTAAAAACAAGGTTCGGAGTATCACTTTCTAGGGTCCAATTCCCGCAATTCCCGCTCCTAATCAAGACCTCGTTTCCAGCAGCTCTAGTGACCTCTGAAGAGAGGATACTCGCCACAGCGAATCCCATTACATTTGTAAGGGCTAGAAGTGGGAGAGGTATAGACCTCCAGGAGGACTGCTTTGCAAGTCGCCGCCAGAAATATGTCAGTTGGACGAATTGCCATGCTGCGGCGATAGGGGCACCAGTATTCCTGAGAATGACCTGCTGCTGATGATGCAGCCCGTCAGAAGGACTTTGAGTGCTGCGTAGTTGATGAGCACTGAATGCGAGAATCTTCCATGCTGCTGTACCAGTCAGGCCCACAAAGATGGCAAGAAATGCAGTAAGGAGATTGCCGGAACGGGAGGAAAGGGTTATGGTTGAGCCGACAATGGCACTGTGATCCCAGTTAATCCATATGCCGTAATGGATATGGGCATCGGGTTGGGTTGACATAGCGGACGACTGAAATGAGAACAATAACAATTCACTGAATCTAGCATCGTTCAGTCATCTTCTTAAAACACCTGTCATGCATCCGGACCAAATCAAGAGTATATAGAACACTTCAGGCACAATCTTGATAAGACGTGTGGAACCACTGGAGATGGTTAATGATGGAGGCAACATGGATAACAGCAAGGCAGAAACCTGATCCGCCATAGTGAGACACTTTGATTTATGTTGTGCAATGTAAGTTGCATCTTGAAGAGAATGCAGTGGAACGGAGATCCTGGTTATGTGGAATGCCTAATGAGTCAACCGATTGATGACCTTGCTGACCATGGAACCAATTTGAATGATTGTTGTAAGAAAGACGAGATATTCTTCGAAGCCACGTTGCTCAGAACGCTACATGCGATTGTAGGAATTTCCAAATTACAACACAACCTATCGAAGTCCCTTGTCTTGGACAGTACATTTCTGGTGTGCTTGGTCTGCAACAGCATTGGCAGCCTGATTTTGCTACTACGTAGTAGGTACTCCGTACAGTGCATTAGTTATAGAAAGCAGCAAGCAGCCGGCCCCCCCTGTGGAAGACTGCATGATAAAAGGAAGCGGAACCTGATCCGTCTCCCTAAATAGTTTCACATTTCAGCGGCGCAGCTCTTCGTAGCCGCTTTAGTGTAACCAGTCAGGACAAGGCACATAGACACCGCAAGGATATTGGAAATCCTCCTGTGACGTACTGCAATACCCTAAAAATGATTTCATAATAGAGTTAGGTACAGCAGACTATTATTGGGTTGAGGACACATTAAAATTTTGAACTCCGCATTAACTCATCACTAACTTTGTAGCAAGTCTATAGCAACAAAGAATCTGGTAATACATCTTTATTATCTTATTATATATATAGTAAGATAGACTAGGATTATATAAGCTTTAAAGATCAATTTTATTATTATATTATATTATAACATGATTTATAATTATCTTATATATATAATTGTCCTATACACTTTTCTTCTAAATTATAACCTTCTAAATTTTTAAATTATTATATACTACTATAATATAATAATATAATGAATTCTTAATCTTAAGAAGCTAGAATTCTCCTTATTATCTAGGCTATCTATACTAACTAAGAAATGTTGATCTGACATGCTATAAAGACGTATAACGTCTCTTAAACTACCCTCTATAATTATATAAAGGACTGCATCTCAAAGGCTGAAGAGCGTAATGCTTGACACATTTTGACCCTGACTAAAGAAGAGACGCTTGTATAATATATTCTTAACCTGGATTTGCGAGGATTCCCACCCTGTATTAATAACGTACGAGATATAGCTGACCTTCTTCGCAAGACATGTCACGCGAAGCCTATTAGCAAGCAGTAATAAAGCCTATTAGCAAGCAGTGGCTATATAACTTTATATAATACTGCCCTAAGCTTAAGACACGTTTTTTATATGTGTACGACTTTTAGAGAGCCTTTTATAAAGATCCTGACTAAATAAAGGTGTGGTTTTAGCTAGTTCTTAATATATATAT